CATTCAAAAATGGAACAGAAAGCACTAGCCCAAAAAGAAAAAGGTAAGTTGTGCTACCTCAAAACTAAAATTTCTGCTAGACAAAACAAATCATTAAGTACAGGAAAAAGTAATCATAGACTGGTAAGAAATATTTTCAGTGCATATATCTGAAAAAGTCTTGTATCTTGAATATAGAGAAGACTCCTACAAACTATTTAAAAACAAAAAACAAAAACAAAAAAAAACGCTATTTAAAAATGAGCAAAAAACTTTGCTCCAGTTGTCTATCACTGAGTAATGAACATCTCAAACTTAATGACTGAAAACAAAAACAATAATCATTTATTTTGCTCACAAATCTACAATTTGGGCAAAGTCCCAAGGGGGTAACATATATTTACCTAATGCAGCAATGTCTCAGTTAACATGAAAGTATTAATGGAAGATAGCTCAATGCCTGAGGGTATTGCTCATTTACCTGTCTGGAAATTGTTTCTGGATAGAGACAGGAATGTCATCAGAGGCTACATCACATATGGCCTGTCCACATGGCTGCTTGCTTCCTTGTAGCAGAGTAGTTGGGTTCCCAGGGTAAGCATTCCAAGAGAAAAATAGAAGTGCAAGCTGCAGGCTATTAAATCTAGGCTCAGAAACTGGCTCAATATTTCTGCTGCTGTAATGGAGTAATGAAGAAATCACAAAGCCTAAATTCAATGAAAGGGGCTATAGAACCTGTATCTTAATGGAAAAAGTATAAAATAATCTGGGGCTATGTTTTAAAAGTGCAACAGTTCACCCTCTGGCCACAAATTACTTACATTCTTTTCCCATCTAAAATACACTCATCTCACGGTCAAACCCTGTCTCTACTAAAATAAAAGAAAAAGAAAAATTAGCTAGGCATGGTGGCATGCACCTTTAATCCCAGCTACTCAGGATGCTGAGGCAGGAGAATTGCTTGAACCCAGAAGGCAAAGATTGCACTGAGCCAAGATCATGCCAGTGCACTCCAGCCTGGGCAACAACAACAACAAAAATACACCCACCTCCTTCCAAAACCCTCAAATATCTCATCCATTACATCATCAGGCTCAATTTTGAAGTCCAGGATTTTGTCATCTAAACCAGATGCTAGCGCAGACAAGATGTATTGTTTTATATTCTTAACATGGTTTCTTTCAATATAAAGTTATATGAACTAAGGAAACAAGGTGTATGCCCCCTCAGCACACACTCATCCAACAAGTACTAGGGAAAGAGGCATAGAATAACTGCTTTAGACACATTCAAAAGGAGGGAGGCAGAGAAGAGGTCACAGACATCAGTCAGTGCTCAATATCAATTCTGAAATCCATCTGGGTACATGTTACCACTTTCTTGATCAGGGTCAAGTACCACTTCCTTAAAATAATCCTCTATAGCTCATGAATTCATACTATTTTTTTTTTTGAAAGATTCTATGGGCCAGATGTGGTGGCTCATGCTTGTAATTCCAGAACTTTGAGAGGCTGAGGTAGGAGGATTGCTTGAGCCCAGGAGTTCAAGACCAGCCTGGATAACATGATAAGGCCCTGTATCCACAATGAAATAAAATATTAACTAGGGATGGTTGTGTGCACCTGTAGTCCCAGCTCCTCAAGAGGCTGAAGTGGCAAGATCACTTGATCTCAGGAAAATGCAGTGAGTCATATTTGTGCCACTGCACTCCAGCCTGGTTGACAGAGTGAGACCCTATCGAAGAAAAAAACAAAAAAAGAAAAACAAAAAAAGAAAGCTTCTATGAACTATCATCTTCCTGAGATCTTAACAATGGCTCTTACACTACTGTACTGGATTTGATCTTTTCACTAAAAATTTTGTTACTTTAAGACTCTTCTGCCATCTGGAGAGGCGGAGAATAAGGAATACTTTCCTTTTCAAATCTAGCAAGTCTTGTTTTTTTTTTTTTATAGTTAACATGTCATCTTTAATTCCTCTTTCTCTTTTTGCATTTTATCATAAACAACAAGATTTTGAGTTGACCCTTTCAATATTCTGCCTGGAAATCTCTTTAGCTATATGTTGAATCAGCAGACTAGCTCTATGGGACAGTGTCTGTCATAGTTTGTTTTGTGTTGCTAAGAAAGAATACCTGAGACTAGGTAATTTATAAAAGACAAGAGGTTTGTTTATCTCACAGTTCTGAAGGCTGAGAAGTTTAAAGGTATGGCTTTGGCCTCTGGCAAGGGCTTTTGTGCTGTGTCCATGGTGCATAAGATCAAGGCCGGGCGCTGTGGCTCAAACTTGTAATCCCAGAACTCTGGGAGGCCGAGGCAGGCGGATCACGAGGTCAAGATATCGAGACCATCCTGGCCAACACGGTGGAACCCCGTCTCTACTAAAAATACCAAAAAATTAGCCGGGAGTAGTGGCATGCGCCTGTGGTCCCAGCTACTTGGAAGGCTGAGGCGGAAGAATCGCTTGAACCCGGGAGGCAGAGGTTGCAGTGAGCCAAGATTGTGCCACTGCACTCCAGCCTGGTGACAAAGCAAGACTTGGTCTCAAAAAAAAAAAAAAAAAAAAAAAGATCAAAGGGTAAGTGGAATCCTGAAGAGAGGAGAAAACCTGAAGAGCATCCTGGCTTTACAACAACCCATTCTTTCAGGAGATAATCCATTCCCAAGAGCAAGATTACCAATCATAAGGGATCTGCCCCCATAACACAAACACCCCTCATTAGGATCCACCTTCCAATACTACCACACACTGGGCATCAAATTTCAGCATGAGTTTCCCAGGGATAAACAAACCATATCTAAACCACAGTTGCATCCATTATTGTAAATGAAGCTTTATTGTAACACATTCATGCCCATTCATTTATGCATTTTCTATAGCTTTTTCTCACTACAATGGCATAGTTCAGTAGTTGTAACAGAAGCCCTATGGTCTCCAAGCTTAAAATATGTACTATCCAGCCTTTTACAAAAAAGCTTGCTGACTCTTGATGAACTAATAAGGAGTTTACTTGGTACTTGGGTAAATATGACAACTTTCCTAATTTTCTCATTGCCTCAGATGCCAGTATGGTCACACATCTCACTATTACAAGGGTCCCCTTTGGTGCAGGTTCCAATTTCATTACATTAGAGGCTTCATTGGCAGCCTTCTAGGTTTTCTTAGGCTGCTGTTTGAAGGCATTAGAATTTCACTAACATCTTTTTTCCTCATCTTTAGTCACAAAGCCAATTTTCGTTATGAAACAACCAAAATGTGTTCTGGTTACTGATGCTGTATAAAAAGCCACCCCATAAATAACTGGCTCAATACAACAACAATCATTTATTTTGCTCATGAATCTACAATCTGGATAAAGCTCAGTGGGGAAAACTTGTCTCTGCTCCACTTGGTATCAGCTAAGGCAGTTCAGATGGGGCTAAAGGGTCCACTTCTATATCTTGTAAGTTTGTGTTGGCTGTAGGTTCCTACCCACTTGGACCCCTGCACAAAGTGGTATAGGTTTTAAAACTGCATAATATCTGGCTCTCAAGAGAGACATTCCCAATAGAACTAGGTGAAGCACATCACCTTTTATAATCTAGGCTCTGAAGTCATATAGCAAAACTTCCACCAGAAGCTATCATCGAAGGCAGTAGCAAGGTTTCACTCCTTTTGTCAGATAAACCCAACCACCTAATGGTAGGAATGTCAAGAATGTATTATAAGACAAATATGTGTTAGGGAAGATACTGTTGTATCTATTTTCATTATCATTATTTTGGCAAATATGTCTGCCACAAACTTGAACAGATTCTTCACTAAAGAAGATATACAGATGAGGAATAAGTACATGCACACACAAAAAGAGGTGTTTGGCATTATTCAGAAGTAGGGAAATGCACCATTTAACAACCGTACCATTTCATAACCATTTCACATAGCTAAAATTAAAAAGACTGATAACATCACACTAAATGCTAGCAAGGATGTGAAGCAGTTGAAATTCTAGCAAGCATGGAGCTGGCGAGAGCATAACATGCATGGTACAACTGCTTTGGAAAACTAGTAATTTCTCAGAAAGTTAACAGCAATTCTACACCTAGATATCTACCTAAGAGAAATGAAGCACTGCCACAAAGCCTTGTATAAGAATATTCTTTTTATAGCTGCTTTATTCATAATAGCATAAAACTAGAAACAACCCAATGTCCATCAACAGGAGAAAGAACAAATTGTGGTATATTCATACCACACTGGTCACTGGTAAAACGTAGCAGATTATTGATATGTACAGTAATATAAGGTTAAGCTCAAAAGCATTATGTCAAGGAAAAGGATCTAGACACAAAAAGGTATGTAATGTTTGCTTTTATTTGTATCAAGTTCGGGAACAATGAAAACTATCTATGGTAATAGAAATTAAAACAGCAGTTGTCCAGGGGCTAAAAATTAATTTGAGAGGATAAGAGAAAGATTTCTGGGGTGAGGAACATGGGTGATATTTTAATCAGAGTAGCAATTATCTGATGTACATATTTCTTCAAAAGTTATGCATTTATTACATGTGAATTTTACCTCCTTAAAGCAGTATTAAAATGTACTAATTTGTATACACATTTGTGTGTTTCAATATTTGTGTTATGTTATAGCAAAAAACACTTTAAAGAAAATTTGAGATTGATAACTGAGATTTCTTAAGAAAAAAATGTGCAAGGTATCTGTCCTGCCTGTGACACTGACAACCTCTGACCCCGTTTTCAGAGGTATGTGGAAGTTCTTCGGTTATTCTTGGCTCTTTTGTATGACCTGAAGCTGCTTTTGAACGCCTCTCTCTGAACTCTGAACTCAGCTCTTCAACACCAGCCACATCCCTTGACATGGAAATCTCAGTTCACTAATGTACCACTTTTCAAACTTTAATGTACCTGAGAATCTTATCCAATTACATATTCTGACTCAGGAATCTGGGGTGGGGTCTGGGAGTCTGTAATTCTAACGGCTCCCGGGTGATGCTGCAGCTGTCGGTCCGTGATGGGCTGCACTTGGAGTTGGAAAGCTCTGGTGCACACTGACATGGCTTTCCTCTCCCACTGTTGCTGCCCTGCGCTGTCTCAGGCAGGAATCTTCCCCAATCTCTGGCACCTTAAAGAAAAATTATGTTACCACCCACCAGACCACAAGTCCAACGGAAGAGCGTTATTTAACCACCTACCACACGGAAAGTATGTATCTCCTTTCTCTGTGGAATAAAATTTTCCACTTCTGTTAATTTTTCAAATAACTGAAATTTAATCTATATTTAATATTATTTTTCTTCATCTAAGACTGTGGAAGACTCACTGTACCTCCCTATAATCTTAAACAGAGAGTACGAAGAATGATTGAATCTTTTTTTATTAACTCAGGGACATTATTAGGCTGTAATGCGGGAATGCCCTCTGGAGTGATTGAGATCTGTTTATCCTGCCTAAAGAGGTCCTAGACTGCAATTCTTTCTGTGCTCTTATGTGCTTTTGGAAAGTGTTGTTTTCTTAATTCCCCAACAGGCTCTCATTTGCTAGTTCTTATTAAACTTCAGCCAGCCTGGCTTTACCAGGCATCATTCGTTCTTCTAATTGTTATTTCAATTCAATTATACAAATTTAAAGTGAATAACCCAGCAATGGTTCATATATTTGTTTAGAACAAAAGTGAAAAGACTGAAAGAGTACATAGAGTTTCCTGTTTTAGGGACATGTGGGGGCTTGAGTGTCTAACTTTCACTAATTTGATTAATTAGAGGCCAATGTTTCTTTTTTATTATAGGATATGTTATACACTCATGTTTGTCCATGTTTGGTTTATTAACAGCTTACAATGGAATAAGCTGTGGTGCTTATAAAAACGTAAAATTCTAGGGCCTTAGCTTTACAGATGCTCATACATTACACCTGGGGGATTCAGCATTGAGCGTACACATCAGGAGTTCCTGTGCCCAGAAAATTTGAAAAAATACTGTTCCTATGTAAATGCCGTTAATCTCTTGAAGATCATGCTACTTTCCTTAGGTTCTCATCAGAATTTCTCCTTTATCTTTGGTCTTCTCTATTATAGCTAGGTCTAATTTTCTGTGCTGCACTAGAAAACTTGTTTGTCTCAATTAGAAAGCTTCTTATCACATAATGACTCATACTTTTCCATTTCTTGGGAGTGGAAAATTAGATGGAAATGTACTAATTTACATATCAGAACTCCAAGTCTGGTCTGTTGACCCTCCAAACTTAAATTCTGCCTGAATAGAATATCTAAAGCTGCAAATTCCCATGTCTCCCAGCAAATAACAAGTTTTTCCTAAGAGGAGAAAAAAAACAGATGTATAAGTTAAGGTCTAAATGTATGTTTACGTTGTTGATACACAAACTGTCCTTTATTCAAAATATATACTATATATGTAACAATTAATAATGCCCATCTGAATTTTTAAAATCCCTCTAAAAGTGGCTTATCATTAGTTGCTGTCTGTCTAAAGATTTACAAGACGTAAAAAGAAATCCAAGCTTTTGTTTAAGGTAGAACACAAGACATAAAAGATGTATCTAGAATAAATTCTGGTATAAAAATCATTCCACCTCATATCTGTACCCTAGCAAATGAGAAATATAAGATAGAAAACCACATATTCCTGGTCACTACCCTCAACCTAGTGTCCTGTATTGCCTAGATATCTTAGCACATTCTACCAGCCACCTGGCTCTCCCACTCTCTACAATTATTCATTCATTCAACAAGTATTTACTAAGGTAGTATGAGCCAGGGGTTATGCTAGCTGCTAAAGATAGAGTACTGAAAAAAAAAAAAAAAAAGATTGGAAGCTCTTTCCTTGAGGAGCTTTAGCTTCTAGTGGGAAAGACAGACAGTAAGACACAAAAAAATTAAAGTATACATGATAGGTAATTATAAATGCTAAGAAGAAAATGGTAAAGAAGGGAAGGAGATAGAAAATATTGGTAGGACAATTGAGTGTGGCCAGGGTTCTTAGAGAAAGGCTTCTCTAAGAGGCAGCTTTTGAGCAAACCTGAAAGATCTGAAGAAATCAGCCTCCTGGATATTTTGAGAAAGAGTCCTCTATCCCAGGTAGAGGAAGTAGTAGGTGCAATAGCACTGTGATCAAAACCAGTGTTTTCATGGAAGTTTGGAGCTGAGTTATCAAGGCAGGGAGAAGTAGGAGATGAGCTGAAAGGGAGACAGATAGGGACAGAATTGAATAATGTAGCACCACACAGGTCTTAATAAGAATTGTTTGATTCTTCCTGAGCAAGATGGGAAGTCATTCGTGTGTCTGAGCACAATGATATGATCTGACTCGAGTTTAACAGAATCACTCTACAGCTGTGTTCAGAACAGATTGGAGAGAGACAAGGGCAGAAGCAATAGAATGGGTGAGAGGATATTGCAAGAACCAAGGCTATAGATTAAAGGATTTCCAATTTTTCATACTGTTGCCAAATTCCCAAAATGCCCTTCTTCCAATCACTCTTCACTGCTAACTGGTGTAGTCCACTGCAAACTGTGAACATCTTCAAATCTGTAGCTGCATTCAACCTCTCTTCCTTTCCTCTTTCATGATAGAAAAAAGTATCCTCTTTAATGAATAGGCAGTAAAGAGTGAGAATATTGGCTCTAGACATAGAAGCTTGATGTATAATAATTTCTCTTCCACCTAAATTGTGTGACTTAAGAACATTCCCTAAAAGTTCTGTATCTCTTTCTTCACCTGCAACATGAAGGACAATGGTAAGAATTACTTCAAAACATGGTGTGAGGATGAAAAAGAAAAGAAAAAAAACAACACACAAATTTCCATCATTGTGAAGAGATCCTGGCACATAATTAAAGCTCAGAAAAACTTAATTTCACTTTCCACGCATGCTAGGGAGCCTGTCCCTCCTCCTTACTTGAAAACCTTACCCCAGTGACAGTTCTCCCCTTCTCCTGCATCTTCAACAGCTTCCTCCTGACTAGATTCTTCTCATCAGTAATTAAACATGCTCAGCTCTTCACCTTAAGGGAAAAAAAAAAGACTCCCTGAATCTACCCTTGTTTTATCTCAGGTTTACTATAGAGAGCCTCATACAAACATGAAAGTGCTGATGTCTTATTTAAGAGGGAAAAAATGAGAAAAGGAAGAATGTAAAGCAATACTAAATAAGGTGTTACCAAATAGCTAACTCTTCTCATGAAAGCTCTAAAGTGTACATCAGATTGTTCAACAGATGTAACTGCTTGACATTTGCAATTTTTCCAAGCAGGCTGCAAGAAGAAAATGTGATGCTAGTAGTCCTGGGAAGAAAGAACGGTGAGGAAACTGATCTGCTGAACTCCCTCCTAGCTCTTGTTTTCTACTGGGCAGTGGGTAGCCCTCGAGGAGTTAACTTCTCTGCTGTTTTGAATTTTGTGGTCTGGTACTTCTGGATGCCGGATTCCACATTGGACTCTGTCAGTCTGGTTATGATTCATCCAAGCTCAGAAATGGCATGAGAAGCTAAAAAATTCAGGGGTGCAGCTGGTCAGCTTGGCTGCAAAAAAAAGTAGCTAAGAGGGAGGGCTTGGTGTTCCAGGGCAAGTTGAGCCCAGACGTGAGCCAGTGTTGGCCAAACACTGTTGGTTCTCCTGTACTGAGGCCAGTGTTCTGGGAGGCAGGCAGTGCCACAGAAATATGACCGGTTACATAGTATTTACAACTGACAGTACTACAGCTGATACAGCTCTATAGCCTTCTCGGTTTTACCGCTACCTCTCCAACTCTTAGCAAGCTTCATGAAAGGATTGTCTACACACTCTGTTTCTTCATCTTTATATCCTATTGACTCTAAAATTTGGTTTCCACACTAACTTTAACCCTTTATTCCAATAGCTTCCAGTACAGTGTTCAATAATCTTCATGGCCCTACATCCAATAACAGCTTTTAATCCTCACCTTATTTGACCTTTCGGAATCATTTGATGTAAATTGACAATTTTCTTCAACAGGCATTCTCTGTCTTTGTCTCTCAAGACAGAAACTTCTGGTTTTCCTCCTATCTTTCTGATTGCTTTTTTCATGCCCATACTGTGATTTTTTTTAAATGATAGGGATCCTCCAGCTTGGATTTTAGTCTCTCTTTACTCCTCTCTGTACATGTGGTTTTTTGAACTATTCCATGGCTTTAACTACCATGTATAATCCAGAGCTGCCTCCCTTAACAATTACCTTTGACCTAACCTTCTCTTCTGAGCCCCATTTCAGTTGTTGACAGACCTTTTTGTTTGTTTGTTTTTGACAGGTTCTTGCACTGTCTCCCAGGCTAGCATACAGTGGTAGTGTGATCATAGCTTACTACAGCCTTGACCTCCTGGGCTTATGTGACCCTCTCCTCTCAGCCTCCTGAGAAGCTGGGACCACAGGTGCATGCCCCACACCTGGGTAATTTTAAAATCATTTTTTATAAATAAAGGGCTTTACAGATTCTTGTAACTCAGAGTTTTGCAGTCTATGTTGCCCAGGCTGATCTAGAACTCCTGGGCTCAAGTGATTCTTCCACCTCAGCCTCCCAAAATGTTGGGATTACAGATGTAAGCTATCATGCCTGGCCTTGGCAGGCTATTTTCATTAGGTGTTTTTATAGACACCACAAACTCAACATACTCAAGCTTTAATCCATATTCTACCTCACAGAGCAGCAACTCCTATAGTTTCTGTTTTTCATAGACAGCGCTGTAACTCATTTGACCATTCATGTAAGACATTTGAGATTTATCTTTGACTCCTGTTCCAGTCTCAGTTTCCCAACTCCCAATCATGACTGATCGACTCCAAAAGAGTTTCTATGTCCCATAAATCCTTTCTTTGTCTTTTCTTTCCTATACTTTCCAGTTAAACTTCTCAAAAATGTTCTCCTATACTTGGAATCCACATTTCCTCAGGTTAGTCCCTAATCTTCTAATCATACATCAACCCATCCTGTACGACTTCCTCTCAGATCACCTATTGGGAACAGGCTGCTGTCACACCACAACCTTCATGTGGCTAAATCCAAAGGGAACTTTAAAGGTCTCATCTTACTTGGCCTTGTAAGAGCATTCGATTGTATGGGTCTCTCTCTCCACTCCTCTTGAGACATTTTCTTTCCTTTTCTCTATCAAGAGATTTTAGATTTCTCTATCAAGAAAATCTCACCTTTTTGGATATTCCTTTTGTCTGTATAGTAGATTCCTCATTCTTTACTCAGCAATTAAATGTTGGGATTACAGTCAGTTCTCCATATCTGCAGACTTCATATCTGTGGATTCAACCAACAAAACATGGATTAAAAATATTCCACACATACAAAAGCAATATAAAGTAACAATACAATAATTAAAAATAATACAAATAAATAACAATGAAGTGTAACAACTATTTGCCTAGCATCTACTATGTTTTAGGTATTATAAATAATATAAAGTTAAAATATACAGGAGGATATGCATTAGTTATATGCAAATAATATGCTTTTTTTTTTTTTTTGAAAGAAAGAAAGAGAAAGAGAAAGGGGGAGAAACAGGAATCTTGCTCTATTGCCCAGGCTGGAATGCAATCCAAAAATAGGTGTCAAAAACCTCCTTTATGCCAATAATTGTGCTTAACAGCTGAGACAGGAAGGAATAAGTGAAGAAAATAACAAACAAACAGCCAACCAATATTTCATCTAAGTCTGTGAAATGCTATGCAAATGCTGAAGAGTGATTTACTTCCAACAACGTGGTCACTTTCAAAATAGGTGTAATGTGATACTGAGAAAAATATATGTTCTGTGGACCTGGGGTGAAGAATTCTATAAATATTCACTGAGTTCACTTGTTCCAGGTCTGAGTTCAAATCATAGATGTCCCTGTTAATTTTCTATCACATTGATCCATTGAATATTAACAATGTGGTGTCAAAGTCTCCCGCTATTATTGTGCGGGAGTCCAACTCTCTTTATAAGTCATTGAAAACTTGTCTTATGTATCTGGGTGTTTCTATGTTGGGTGCATATATATTTATGATCATTGACTCCTGTTGTTGCATTGATCCTTTTACCATTATGTAATGTCCTTCTTTGTTTCTTTTAGTCTTTGTTACTATTAAAGTCTATTTTGTCAGAGACGAAAGTTACAACTCCTGTTTTGTTTTGTTTTTTTTCTCTCCATTTGATTGATAAGTCTTCCACCAACCCTTTGTTTTGAGTCTTTGTGTGTCTTTGCTTATGAGATGGATCTGGATACAGCAGATGGATCTGGATACATACTGATGGGTTTGACTTTTTATTCAGTTTGCCTGTCTGTATCTTTGATTGGGGCATTTAATCCATTTAAATGTAGAATTAGTATTGATCTTTGTGAGTTTAATATTGTAGTTTAATGCTCGCTGGCTATTTTGCCCATTAGTTGATATAGATTCTTCATTATGTAGATACTCTTTACCTTTTGGTAAGTTTTTGGGATGACTGATACTGGTTGTTCCTTTCTGTGTATAGTGCTTCTTTCAGAAGCTCTTGTAAAGCAGGCCTGGTGGTGATGAAATCTCTGAGTGCTTTCTTGTTCATGAAAAATTTTATTTTTCCTTCATTTATGAAGCTTAGTTTGGCTGGATATGAGATTCTGGGTTCAAAATACTTTTCTTTGAGGATATTGAATATTGACCCACACTCTCTTCTAGTTTGTAGGGTTTCTGCTGAGAGATCTGCTGTGAGTCTGAGAGGCTTCCATTTATGGGTAACCTGACCTTTCTCTCTAGCTGCCCTTAGAATTTTCTCCTTTATTTCAACCCTGGTTAATCTAACGATTATGTGTCTTTTGGTTGCTCTACTTGAGGAATATCTTTGTGGTGTTCTCTGTATTACCTGGAGTTGAGTATTGTCCTGCCTTACTAGGTTAGGAAAGTTTTTCTGAATAATATCCTGAAGAATATTTTCCAGTTTGGATTCATTCTCTTCATGACATTCAAGTACACCTATCAAATGTAAATTAGGTCTTTTCACATAGTCCCATTTTCTTGGAGACTTTGCTCATTCCTTTTTTACTATTTCTTCTCTAATCTTGTCTTCTCATTTCATTTCATTAAGTTGGTCTTCGACCTCTGATATCCTTTCTTCTCCTTGATCAATTCGACTGTTAAAACCTGTGCATACTTCACAGTGCTCTCATGTTGTATTCTTCAGTTCCATTAATTCACTTATATTCCTCTCTAAATTGTCTATTCTCATTAGGATTTCATCAAATCTTTTTTCAACATTCTTAGTTTCTTTACATTGGGCTAGAACATGTTCTTTTAACTCACAGAAGTTTCTTATTATCCACCTTCTGAAGCCTAATTCTGTTAATGGAATGCACTTGTTCTCCATTAGGTCTTGTTCCCTTGTTGATGAGGAACTGTGATGCCCTGTAGAGGGAGAGGCATTCTGATTTTGGGTATTCTTGGCCTTTTTTACGCTGGTTTCTTCCCATTACTGTGAATTTATCCACCTGTCATCTTTGTAATTGCCGACTTTCAAGTTAGGTCTCTGAGTGGACGTTTAACTTGTTGATTCCCAGCACCAGAATCTGAGCAACCCACTGTGCTGGCTAAAACAGAGGCGTTAAGATTCATGGTGCTTTTCTGCCCAGGAATCTCCGGTCTGGCTTCCTTCTTGAGTCCCTTTTTTAATCAGCTGAATAGGCGACTCTGCCTTCCCAGAGCTCCAAACATCGACCAAAAGAGGACCCAGTCCCATTTACTCTGCACCAAGAACTGCCGCGCCGGCCACAAGAGTCATGCTGGCGTCCTGTGGGGCTCCTCTGCTGGTAATCTCCTGGTCTGTGAGCAACAAAAATTCATCTGAAAGTGTGGCTCCCTCTCGTTCTCTGCACTTTTACTGGGAGCTACAATTCTGAGCTGCTAGTAATCAGCCATCTTGGATCTCTCTCCTACTATGCCTTTTTATATCAGAGACTTGAACATCAGTGGATATTGGTATCCATGGTGTGTGGGGGGTCAATTTTCTGTGAATACCAAAATATGACTGTCTTTTAGGCCCTTTCTCCCTAGGCAATTGTATCCATTCTGTTACTTTAAATGACAATGTATAATGTATACACAAGGTATACTAAACTCACATCTCCCACACATATTTTTCCACTTATTTTCAGATAGAATGCAGGTGCCTATTTGCATCTCTTCTTGAGTATCTCAAGAGTCTAAAGCTCGACATCTGCAAAACCAAACTTATGAGCTCCCTCCTGAAAGCTTATATATTTTTATCATTTTTTACCACTGTAAATAACACTATTTTCTGAATTTTGTAAGTCAGAAACTTAGCAACATTTCACTCGTTCTCAATATTTAATTGAATCCTTTACCATGTGCTCTCAATAGTACCTTCCAAGTTTCCCACTAATTTTTTCATTTCTCTTTGGATCTGCTACCTTCACTCTAGTTCAAGCTGTCTATCATTTTGTGCCTGGACCTTTTTAGTAAATTTTTTACTAGACTACCACATTTGCTCTTACCTGGATCAAATCCATTCTCAATACAGCTCTCTGGGTAATCTTGTCAAAATGCACATCTGTACCTATGTTCTTATAGAGGCTTACATTCTTAACATAGCTCACAAACCCTTCCCTCATCCTCCTCAACTTCCTTTGCAGCCTTATCTCACCCTGTGTGTCTGTCACTGCACTCACTTTCCAGACACATTGGCCTCCCTTCTGTTCCTTATCCCTTCCGTGTTACCTCTTGCTACAAGACCTTTGTGGGTTTTCTTCCTGTCTGGAGTGATCATCCCCCCACACCCCGTTTCCTTTCATCCCCAGTTCCTTTGACTTGTTAACTCTTAAATATCCTTCAAATTGAAATGTAACTGTCACTTTTCTAGCAAAGCCCTGACATATCTTCCTAACTGGATAAAATCTTTCACTTATACAAATTCTACTAAATCAAACTTTCAAATAATATTTTCTCATAGCATGTCATGTCAAATAGATGTTTAAATGGACATTTACTTTACGTACTTGATTAATGTCTTTTTCCAGCCCCAATCCAACCAAACTCTTCATAAATATTGCCAGCCTCTTGAGAAGAACTATGCTGGTGCTCACCATTTTGTCCCTAGTGCCTAGGACAACACCGAACATATAATAGACAGTTAATATGTGCTGGATGAATGAAAAAGTATATGGAATATTCTTTAGGGGATTCTCTATTTTTGAAGATCTAGATGTTACTGAAAACTTTGAAATATGCATGACTCAAATGCCCTCTACATAATCACGGTGAATTTACTATACTGCTTAAAAGCTGAGCTCCAAAGTTAGGTTGCCTGTATTCAAACCAGTTTTGCCACATATATATGTGCAACCTCTGCAAATTAAACTTTCTCTCTGTTTCTGATTAGTGAAGATAACTACACTATGGCCCACAATTTCTGTGTGGATAAGATGCAGATATGCAAGTAAGTAGCTCAGCACAGCCTGTCACATAGAAACTCTTGACTAAATGGTAGCTGTTGTAATTACGGACCTGATTTCTTCATGCTTCCTTCCTTTTCTGCTCATGGATCTTTGTGAGCAATTTGTATTCCATCTCTTCAGTGAACTTGGTGGAATCTACATCTTGCACCTTTCAAAGGAAATCTAGTCCCATTAAACTTATTCTCATTTTTGTAGTTTTACTGAAGATGTGTGTTTTCACAAAAGTCGCCTGGAGTCCAAGGTAGCCTACCCTCTCTTTGACCCTCGCCACACTTCTTCTCTAAACCACCAGTCTATACTCAATTGCTTTCCCCAGATTTTCACCCATGAACAGATATCTGTGATTTACAGTTTAGTTTTCCTTCAGCAAGGAAACAGCCTTGTTAGTTTCATTTGTTTACCTCTTTTTACTGAGGATTATGATAAAGAACAGCATTTCCCTTCTCACAACTTCATCAACTCATTTCCTTGCCTAGAAGACTTTTCTGAAATCTCTTGGCCCTTAATATAAAGTTCAAGGCAGGCTTTTGCATAACCTGGCTCCTGCTAGTCTTTCTGATCTCATATTGTGCTACCACCCTCCTGCTCATTTTTCTGTAGCCACAATGACCTATTTTTCTCTGCCTTAAAGGTAATGAGATTTTGCTGGTTCAAGTCCTTTACAATTTCCCAGCTCTCTCCCTTTGCCTATTTAAGACTCAAACATCCTCTGGGTCTGGATTTAGTATCTATTCCTCAGAGAAGACTCAATGACTGGAATTGAGTTCCCTGGTTATATAGTTTCATTACATAATATATATTTCTCTAATTA